CTTCTGGGAACTGTGGTGTTTTCCTCATGCTGGTCCCGGTAGAGTCGGAAGAAGCGGCGGGCGGAGAACTATTGGGACCCGCAATGCACTGAAAATGCGAAATACTCCCCTAAGAAGCTGGTGAACGGGTACATGTTATACGCGTTTGAAAGAGAGAGAACATAGAGTGGAAAAATGCCTGGTTGTCCCAAGATCAGACTCGAATGCAGTATCCTGTGGAAGCTGAATTTAAAAGCTTACTCTAAGTGCAAGCAGTCGGCCTTTCCAAGCGTTCATCCCCACGCCTCCTTGCCCAGCTCCTGGTGGCAGAAGCTCCATCTCGATGCCAGCTCGCTGCTGCAAAGAGCTGAAGCCAGAGCAATGCCGTCCGGCGTTTCGCCTCCCCAAGAGGAGCAAGCCCTCCTACGGGAGCATTCTGGGTCGGCGACCAGCAAGTCCAATTGCCCTGTTGCAGGGACTGCCCCCTCAGTTCAGCCCCTGGGTTTGTACCCCATGGCCATTTCTGCCTTGGTTGACAGAGCCCCGCACAGCAACCAGTTTTCTTCTTCCTTTTTTTGGATCAGGAATATCAACCCTGTGGAATACCTTCCCTTGGGTCGGATTTCTTTAGGGCAGCCTCCACACAGCAGGCCACCGCCTCCCACCATTGCAGGCTCGGCCTCCCTTGCCTACCCCAGGCCAAACTAATGCTGCACTTCTCCTTCTCTGCTGCCTGCCTCACTCTCTCTCTCCCTCCCTGCCTCCAGCAAGCACAGATCCTTTGCCCTGCGCCTTGCCCCTTTGCTGCCCCTTCCCTCTCTTGCGCTTGCTGGAGAGAGCCACCACCATCCCCAACAGCAGCAGCCACAATTAGCCACTACCGCTGGAAGGAGCTGTGCTTGGCCATGGAGGAAATGAGGCTGGCTGCGGAGAAGGAGAAGAAGCAGAATCCCTTTCTCTGCTCCTTGCTCCCCTCAACAGAAGCAACACCAACTGCTACCCATGTGAAGGCAGTGATCTCCGGCCTTGTTCCTGCAGTGTGATAACAGGAAGGCTGGGGGGCGGGTGTCAGTTCTCAAAACAAGAGACTTTCCTTCCCTCTCAAGGATAAGAGGGAAGCACCTTGACAGGGATCTGTGAATTAGGCCTAGTCTCCCTTTGTGAAACTTACAGGCTGAGTTCGTACAGTAGGCTAAGGCTAAAATGTGAGTAAATAGTTTGTGACTAGTGTGAAGATCCAGTCGCAGTGATGAGTTTATGGTTCATATTATAAAAGGCAGGCAATTTGGTTAATTCACTAAACCATGATTCTGTGTGGTATTAGTAGGTTGTGCAAACACAGCTTTACATCACTAGTGCTAAATTTTTCTACATTCATATCTGTTCTTTCCGATTCAAGGGACAGGGAGATGAAACCTTACAGCACCACACCTTGGGATGGGTCAAGCAAATTGCAGAGGTACAGTTGTGTCAATTAACAACTGCCAATACCCTTCCTTGTATACAGTCACTCAGGAATTTAATTTTATATGTGATGAAATTCCTATATGGCAGCCTTTCAGTTATTTAGGAATTTGTGAAATCTGCATTTAGATATATACAGAAATCACACATGACTACAGGATGATTTTCATCCTCTGAATACTGTATGGCAACTTTAGGAACCCATCATTACATATGGCTGGATGTGTGTTAATATCTACTGTCATTTAGAATATATACATTAAAAAATGAAATTGGATTTGTTGAATTATTCCTACATCACTTGAGACAGACGCATTCACCCCAAATCTTGTATCAAAGAACAATCATGATTCCCACAGTAATCATCTGTGTCTTCAAGGAAGCACAACACATCTTCTTGAGACAACTATCCAACAACAGCGGAGGGTAGTGAATTTATGATCTAGATCTTGTTGAACAACAAGCGTCTGTGGTGGGGAGAGTGGAGCGTAGAAAGCCTACAGCTATTCCAGCATCTTCCAGGGTACTTTGCTGGTACTGTGCTTACACATCTGGTGAGTCACTCCAGTTCAAAGCACGATATAAATCTACTGAGACTATAAATTAGCATCATCCATATATAAGTTTGATAGATAATCTCAGTGATTTCTAGCACAGGAAGGAATCATATAAACTTATTTTGGGCTTATCTCCAAATAATGCAAATCAAGTGGACCTAAGGAAGTGGGGTGATCTTTGGGGAACTTTCATGTGTATAATGACTACTGTAGTATGTCATACTGATAGCATTTTATTTCCTTAGGTTATACCAGAGGGACAATATGTTGTAATGGTCCTTGTGTCATCCTAGGAGGAGGGAAGCTCAGGTTCAAATGACCACTTCATGAAGTCACTGTATAGTTTTGAACCAATAATTCTTCCTCTGGAGGGATAAAATGCCATGGAGAGAACTGTGTCTATTCTATTAGGCTTCTTGGACACAACCCAGACTCTAGATATAACAACAACAACAATTATTCAAAACTGATGGGATAACAAAAATGTCCCCAGTAGTAAGTATTCTAGGAGAAGTAGCTCTTGGCTCAGCACCTTGGTTTTGTTCTGCCTATAGGAGAGAGGTTAAGAGAGGGAAAGGGCATCTCCTGGGGGTGTCTTTGCAACTTCTTTTTTTTTTTACTTTGCAAAAGAGCTACTGAGTGCCTTCCTTCCCTGTAGTCTTCTGTGCCCTTCCGTCTTTTCTTGTTCCCCACCCCCTTTGCCTTGCCCATTTCATAGTGCTATGTATTACATCAGGAAATGGTTTTGGGAGGAAATAGCTTGCAGAACCTGTGGAGAACTCTAGTCATAACAGTAGGAGTATGTGCATAGAGGCAATCTTCACTTCAGAGACTGCAAAACCATGGGCCCTGCAGTCAGCATGAGATAAGGTCACAAGATTGACAGTTTCAGTTGATTCAAAGGATTTGATTGGTAGGGAAGAATGTCAGACCCTTCTCTGTCAGCAGAGCTCCCTGATAATATAAGTCAAGCTATGGCTGAACTACCAGATGCCTTTGATTTCTCCTTGCGTGATGATACCAGCTCTCTGGGCTCTGACTCTGAGCTGAATGGCATGGCTCCATATCGCAAGACGGATCGCTTTGGCTTTATTGGGGGCAATAGCCTCCATAATGGGTAAGAGGCAGCTTCTGCTCCAAAGGTTGCTGGAAGGGTGGGGGATGAGGGGTTGGACCTTTGTTGCATAGAGCAATAATGCTCAAAGGCAAAATGGCACTGAACTCTCCTGTAGACAACTGGATGAAATCTGTTTTCAAACTAGTGGAGTTCTTTCATATTCTAGAGTACTCATTTCTGTGTTCTTCCTATTTCTGACTGCTCCACTTTGCAGAAATGGGTAATTTTCATAGGTTTCTGATTCTTTTGTTCCCACCTGACTAGCTGCATCTATAGATGCCCACAATAATATTCCTTCCATTCATTAGAAAGAAGGAGTCGCTTCAGAAGAACTTTGTAAGGAAAGGTACTTAGCAGATGGGGATGAGAAACTGAAAGGCAATAAATCTGTCTTGGTTTAAGGTCATTTTCCAAGATGTATTATTTACTTCAGATGTGGCAAGCATCAAAGGCAGAGGGGAGGTATATAAATAAGTACACAGCCATGTTCTACCCTGTTGTTAGGTAATTTTAGACTAATGTCTTCCAGGGGAGAGTGCTTTTTTTTTTTTTAACTTAACATCCCTTTTTGAGTACGCAAGCTGTGCTGAATTAGGGCCCTCTGGCTCATTCTTTTGAATGGCTCTCTCTGGATTTCTTTCACAGAATCCTATCCTGGCATCGCAATCTCTTTGTAATTTTCTGGTAATATTGCCTTAGGAGTCTGCCCCCAGTAAAATAAGCCTAAGCTTCTACAGGCAAGAAATACAATTTAAAATTAGAGGTGAGAATTATTTTGCTATTTTTCATATTTAACCTAGCTAGTATTAGATATTAAAAATTGTGAAATAGATCAGGGGAACTTTCCCCAGCAAGAAGCCAGATATTTTAGATTTAAATTCCAGATCAGCTTGATTGCCAAGTCTTAAATTAGGGAAAGCTGGGCTAGAACAGAAAGAGTGTCACAAAATCAGGGTTGTTTGGAAGACTGAGAACTGGCATGATTTTGAAAGAGGGACAAAGGGGTTGCAACGCCATTTCAAGTTTGTAGATTTGGATCTATTCCCTTTTGCTAGCTTTATGGCCGTGCTAGATGGGTATTCTGTGAACTGTAATCCTCACGTATTTGGAGGGTATCAGGTTGGAGAAGGCTGATGTAAAAAGACTGAAGGCTTGATGAATTGAATTCATACACATCAAAAGATGCATTTAGTCAAGTCAGAGTGATCCAGACATGTATGGTAAAGGTGTTTACCTACATTCATATAAATAGAGCACATGGAAACCTATTTCTAACTCAGATGTTATTTGCTGGATGAGGATGATGAGAACCAATTATCCTCCCAATGAAAACAGGCAATAATCCTAACCTAGCTATTAACTCATTTTGTAGGACAATAACTCTTAACTTTTGGTTTCTTAAGTTTTGCCATTCAGTCTATCAAAGAACCTGGTTGCCACATGATAGAAACAAAAAGCCAACTTTGCCCTCAAAATACATCTATATATGAGCAAGCATGCTATTGTTATAATTATTGTTACAGTAAGATTAAAAGACTTAACATTTCATGACGAACCCTGTGTCCCACCTGGATCACTTTCTGTGGTTATGTGCGATCAATTGAAAACCGTGTTCTAGAGTTCATTTCCTTTATACATGAAAGCTAGTATCATTCACCAATCATATTATCTATGAATATCTATACAGGATTAGCCCTGGTTAGTACTTGGGAGACGACCAGGGCAGTAGGTAGACTGGGAAGTCATAGAACTATCCCAGAAATGAGGCAACGGCAAAATTACTTCTGTACTGATGCCAAGAAAACTGCATGGGAAATCACCAGGAGTTGAGCTTGACTCAGAGATGACTTTACTTACTTGTTACAGAGCTGTGTGGTTACAATGGCTTCTCTGTCTGTGCTGTAATCATATTTAAGTAGCTAAATGACAGTTATATTTAAGCTGTATTTATGAGCCTGCATCACTTTAAACAATTTGATTCTGAGGTGTATTATATATTTTGCTTATTTCTTATACTTCCTGGTGAATCTAAAAAAATTGTTACAACTTCAGGAATACTTAATGTTACAGTATGGAATCAGATCAACTTTGATCTGTTTGGAATCAGCAATATTCTATTCAACAATTAAAACTTCAGTTGTGGAATGGAATAGACCAGCTACAAACTTCCGAACCATGCTTAGTTGTCCTTTTCATAGCAGCTTGAGCTAAAGCAACTTGGTAATGCTTTGGTTCAGCCATGAAATGCTTCAGTAGTGGATCTTGTATATCAGGGATGGATAAACTGAGGTTCAAGAGCTTCATGCACCCAATCTCCCTTTTTATAGAGCTTGGAAAGCCTTTTAACCACAATTCCCCAAAACTGGCAGCAAGGTTTCCTGCCATCTTGAAGTAGAATTGTAGTGAAACTCTAAAATTGGCTTAATATCACTTAGGAGAGGGACAAATTCTCCTCAGGAACCTATTAAAAAACAGTGAGCAATCTTTGCCCAAACTAGGTACTCACACTGTTGCTCCCACATTCTCAAAAATATTAAATGTATATGATTATTCACCACTCCAGTGTGTTAAAAAACTCCCTTTAAAATATATTTAAAGGATTTATTTATCCATCCATCCATCCATCCACCCACCCCCTTTCTGGTTGACTGATAAACTTAAATCGCCAAAGAGTACCATTGTTCTATAATTGTAGCTTATTGTAATAGGAGTAAATCAAATATGTAGGACTGGTAAATGTTGTTCTTTCGGAGAAGAAAGAATCTATAATAGCCATTTCCAATCTGGGTGACTTCCCACTGTGAATAATGCTAGAATGAAATTGCTCAGCAAAGCATTATCACATATAGGCTCAAAACCAAAAAGGAATAAGAGCAACAAGAACAACGAGAACAACAACCACTTAAAAAAAAGTACAGAATTGAAAAGAACCCTTTCGTTGTTGATTACAGATTAGAATTGATCTAGCGGGTAGAAAGAACCTTGTGAAAACTCTGCATATCTCCTGCACTTCTACATAGGTTGTCTATTTCATCCTTGTAATTAATACAGGGCAGTTGGAGTACTCTATCTGGGTATTCCTCACTGTATGGTAAATGAGTGACTAAATTCATAGTTGGTTTGCTGGATCAAAATAAAGTCTTAATTCCCATCATCCATGCTGACTGGAACTGTAGTCTGTTTAAATGCTATTATTTGGCAAGATGACAAACTATACACTCAGTTATAGTCCTAATACCCCTAACTGAGGAAGACTAGCCTCTCTACTCCAACATAAGTGTCTCTATGGCCAACCAGTCAATAGACTCATGAGAAACATGCAAGCGGGAGTTGTAAGAGTGCTCTTAACAATGATATTTAGATCAAGATTATTTGTAATGTAGAAGAGGGCTTGAGTGGAAAATGTCTTTGCCTACCTATTAACTAACACTTCCTGTTTCAGCAATGTAGCTCAGCCACATCCTCTCGCTGTATCCATGGCAACTTGTGTACCCCGACAATAAAAGTTGTGGTTATGGTGGCTAGCAACTAGGTTTTCTTGACTCTTTGGCCTGCAAGACTTTGGATTGCCTAGAAGGCTGAATTCAATAAATTAGTAATATTTTTTTTAGCCACAGTAGAAATTCTCGATTTTAAACTGTGTTAACTTTCAAGACTTCCCCCAAAGAATTGTGAAACCAGAGTCTGGTGAAATGCAGACAAAACTTTAGAGAACTCTAATGTTCTCCTTCCTAACTGCAACTCTATTATTCCCAGAGTTCCTGAGGAGGAAAATGTGTGTGTATGTGCCCATGTTTTGAACCAATGAACTTGGGGCAAACCATGACCCACAGCGAGCAGGAGTTTGTGAGAGCACTCTTAACAGTGATACACAGATCAAGATTCTCTGTAATGTGAGAAGAGCCACTTAGCATCTCTCTCTCACAAACACCCCTTCTGGCAGTCACTGGGATTTCCCCAAGATTGTGTTATTAAAATTATGACAGCAGGGTTTTCTGTTGCAGTAAATTATGGTGAAAATAAGCAGTAAATTAAGATTTTAAAGTCATGATGCTCCTGTTTTACTGTACGTTTTTTAAAAAAATCTATTTTTGAAGCCTCCTGTCCTCCAAAGATGGGATATGTCACCACCATTTCCCCTATGACCTTTGAGGCTAAAAAAGATTAAAGGGTGGGGGGAAAGGGATAGTTCCCAGCTACAAAAAGATTGCCTGCCTCAGGTTGGTGCAGAGCATGCAAAGAGAAAAAAAGACTCATTACAATTAAAATGGAAAAAGCAAGCTTAATTTCTTGTAATACCTTCACAGGCATCCATGGGAAAGGGGGTAAACAGCATTAAAATGTCAGGTGCCACTGGGTGATCAAAGCCCTACAGCCCTTTCTAATGTACATTACAAGCATCACGTGCATGTAAAAAGGGGTGGGGCTTTAATCGATAATACCATTTTGACTCTGTTGACCCACCCTCCATGGATATCCCTGCACACCTTGCTTAAATTCTGTTAGCAACCTCAAAGGTCATTTAAAATGCAATCATCAGCTGGGTTCTTGCCCTTTTGTCTGAATTTCATTTTTGGAGAGAGAGAGATTGCTTTTATTGAAATACTATTTCTGAGCGAAAGATTTGTACTGTACAGTCTGGCCAAGTCCCAAGCATTGGATCCTGTAGTGACTCAGTTCTTCCCTGATATTTGATATGCAAATGTTCTAGTATTCCAACTCCTACCAGTACTAGGAAATATGGTGACTTGATCAAAATTGAATCTAAATCAATCCCACGAAGGCAAGAGAAGCTGAAGACTGGTATAATTCTACTGTATCTGTAATAGGGAAGAATTATCTAAACAGACATACTTCCCATACTGCATTTATGTCCTACCATTCTTCCAAAGAACTCAGGATAATTTCATTTTACTCTCACAACAACCTGACTGAAAATGTTTTTTCTCCGGTACCATCCCTGCTAATCTGCATGAAATAGGAAGCAACACGGCAACAGC